CACACATATCCATACATTCTCATACAGTCATTTGTACGTGCATAAAAAAAAAATGCGAGCCATACTGCAAAATAGTTAGTCAGGAAAGCAGAATGCAAAACTTCAGAAAACCACGCCCACACAAATTCTATTTTTAGGTATCTAGTAATAAATACATGCAGTCCTATAAAAGTCGCACTGTCTCTCTCAAGTTCATTTCCCAGCATGAAGTAAGTATCGAAAGACCTCACTCTAGAATTAAGTTTGCGACTCAAAACCATAATACTTTCTCGGCCGTGGTGAGTTTAGTACGTCAATGTTAAACGCAATTCGACTTCATGTGTAAAAACTCAAGTATTTATGTAGATGCTCTTGTGATAAATAGGGTGAAATTGTTTTCTGTCTCTAGTGTTCAGGTGATTTATAGAAGAGAGACATGAAGTTATTGTTATATAACTATAGTTAGGATGTAACTGATAGACAAAGATATGTAGCGATTAAATAACGCTCAGTCGGTCTAGACGCGAGGAGTTATGGAAGTTGTTCTTTCCTCCAGTTATATAGTATATTTTATATATATAACATATATATATATATATATATCTTTGTGTGTGTGTGTGTGTGTTTCTGTACGTGAGTGTGTGTGCGGATATCACACGCACGAAGCCAAGGTACATACGCAAATACGTATACTGCACACATTGTCTTCCAGAATTGTAATGCCACACCTACTAACATATGTTTACACTTGTTTTAAGTTTTGCGCATATTAGTCTGGTAATGGATGGTGGTGTTTTCCCTTTTTCATTGATTTAAATTCATGTTACTGTTATTTGAGTTTGTAATCGCTATCTTGATGAGTCCTAATACATATGGTAGATTTACTAGTCATCACAACAGCAGTAAATCACAGCTATAATTGTGACCGGAAAGCATCATGGCAGTAACCAAAGCGGCTTCATGATCATAAATCTAGTCGTTATCAGAATCCTAATACTAAATGGTAATCGAAGTTATGATCATAGTTGAACAGTGGTTCTACAGCAAATATTAAGATCTTATACGTATATATGTGTGTGTGTGTGTTACATCATTCTCATTTCTTGATATTATTATGAGTTACTACTAATTACATTTCATTACCATTGACATCATTGCCGTCTAAATAACTAGTATTATTATTCCTAAGAACCGTCGTTGCAACAATTCTCGTGCTTGTGATGGGCGCAACCCACGCCTTCTCTGCCCCAGGGAAGCATGGGTCCGCCCTCCGACCTGCTACGGAGGCAGAGGAACGGTCCCTTGCCCGAATTAAGAGGTAAGAAAAGAGGGAGAATGGAAGAGTCTGAGAAGGGTGATGAGGGAGGGAAGAAGGGACGGAGAGAAAGGAATCGATGGATAGATGGGTGGATAGAGAGACAGAGACAGTGAGAGAATGAGACAAAGTAAAAGAAATGAGAGAGAGAGAGAGAATACGACAATGGCATTAAATCTCTTGAATTTTCCTAATAATATTTTGTTTTTAACAGGACTGTGAATGATCATGACCACAATGACACCCGTGAGCATGAAGTGGAATCCCATGGTCATGGCAGCAACGAGACCCAAGTTCAGGACACTATGGGACATCATGGCAAAAAAGACCATCATCATTACGATCTTGAACACGACAGTCATGACGATCATGATGAACACGACGATCATGACGATCATGAACACGACGATCATGACGATCATGATGAACACGACGATCATGACGATCATGATGAACACGACGATCATGACGATCATGAACACGACGATCATGACGATCATGATGAACACAACGATCATGATCATCATCATGACGATCATGATTATCATCATGACGATCATGATCATCATCATTCTCATGATCCATGGTCGTATTAGCGATGTGATGACAGCAAGGAGGACGACAGGGAAGGTAACAGCGACAGTGAGAATGTTGACTGATCTATTACACTGATATAAAACATCTATTTGTATGTATTCATGCTAACAGATCAATGTAATCACAGAAATGATAATGGTGAAAATAATCACAGTATCAAAATTTAATTTCCAAATTTATAGTGTTTAAATACGCTAATGAAAGAAATGTGTAAAAATAAAGGAAAAATAAATAAATACATAAGATAAATTAAATTAGTAAAGGGTTAACTGATACCTAAATAAACTTACTTTTCCCCTTTCTCTGTTTCATTCTATAAACAATGTATAAACAGCCATCCAATACCAGTGTTATAATCCTCATTATGATGAATAAAGACAATGATCAATACACATCTATTTTCCATTACGTTTAGACCTTCCTTTGCTACGCTGGCGAACTGCAATGGCATGATTATATCCTCTTAATGTCTCAGTTAAGAAGACTTAATCATACAGTATTATCAAGACAGGGTGGTTCATAGAATCAAGAATTCAAAAACAACATGGGATTTTTATATGTAGGAGTATACACAGCCATAGAGACAATCATGTACATATATACATCTATATACATATATATACACACAGACCACACATATTCATATGTATGTATATATATATATATATATATATATATATATATATATATATAGATAGATAGATAGATAGATTATACATACATCTATATATATATACATACATATATACATACATAATTACATACATTTACATATATACATACATGTACATATATATACATGTATATATTTATGTTTATATATTCATATATGCATTTATGTTCATACATGTATATATTAATATAAATGCAAATGATATGCGCGTATATATATATGTATATATATGCATATATATATATATATATATATATATATATATATATATATATATATATATATATATATATATGTATATATATATGTATGTATACATATATATGCATACATATACTGCATATATATATATACTTATATAATCATATATATATACATATATATATATATATATATATATATATATATATATATATAAATATATATATGAATATATATATATATATATATATATATATATATATATATATATATATATGAATATATATATATATATATATATATATATATATATATGTATATATACATATATATATATATATATATATATATATATATATAAACACAATATATGTACTGTATATATACATATATATGCATACATATATATGAATACAAATATGTATATGTACATAAATATATATCTTTAAATATAAATGTATATACATGTATAATTATACATATACATAAATATATATATATATATATATATATCCATATATATATATATATACATACATATATATATCCATATATATATATATATTCACAACATATTTGCGATAAACTAACAGACACTAACCCATGTTGTCACACACGCACATCATTTTATCAATTTATATCCAAGTGTACCAGTATAAAATCAAAAAAGTTTTGTTACGAAAGGATTACTGGGAAAGAGAAAAAAAAAGTGTTGAAGATAGCCACGCCTACGCAGGCACATGGTAATCAGGTTTCATACACAGCTGTCATATAAGTATTTTTTCCCCTCGCATTCATTTCTTCGTCGGCGCAAAAGCAAGATGAAGTAAGTGCCAAAAGACTAGGATTCAGTTTAATGTGCTTTAGTTTCTCCGTTGTGAGAGTAACGCACCTACTTGGAACCTATTTTCATATAGGTTTCCTTGTCAGAAAACAATTAAGATTTTTCTGTATTCGTATGGACGTGATGTTACTGTTGCTTAACAAAAAATATATTTCAAATATAGATATATTGTTTTCGCTTCCAGAGGCCGGGTGGCCTGATAATGGATGGGTGTATGTGTATGTATATATGTGTGTGTGTGTGTGCGTGTGCATGTATGTATATCAAATATATATATATATATATATATATATATATATATATATATATATATATATATATATATATACACAGTAATCAAGATGGTAACCAAAGTGTTATACATAAACGTGGTAGTAATTCAGTTCCAATCATAACCGAAATAGTAGATTGGAAATAATAGTCGTAATCATAACTAAAGCATAAAGTGATTCTGTTAGGTGTACATTTTCCTTTATTGCACTAAATATTACCATTATTTTTCCTTATCATGGTTTCATGATTTTTTTGATTGTCATTATCGATGGCATTAGCAAAGTGATTGTTGTTATTGCTGTCACCATCCATATCACTACGATAAACATTACCATAAATGCAATCATCACTGTCGCCTTTAATAAAATACATTCTTGTTCCACAGAATTGTTACTACAACAATTATTCTCGGTGTTGTGATGGGAACAGCCTGTGCCTTCTCTACCCAAGGGAAGCCTGATATCGAAGCTAAGGAATGGAGGTAAGGAAAGGGAGAGAGAAAAAGGAAGAGAGGGAGAGGAAGAGAGAGATTATGACAGGAGGAGGCGAGTGGGTGACAGAGAGGAGATAAAGAGTGAGAAAGAAAGAGTAAGAGAGGAAGTTATAGTCAGTGAGAAATAGAGAGTGAAAGAATGAAAGACAAAGAGAATGAATGCTAAAAAGAGCAGGACGGGAAATATAAAGAGCGAAAGCGAGAGAGAAAAGTATCCCGCTAAAGCCTCTTAAATGTTCTAACTAGTGCCTTTTATGCCGAACAGGAAAGGTGGCAGAATTCCGTATCATGGGAGTAATGAACAAGACAGTGGTGAATCCTATGAACATGACAGCGGTGAATCCTATGAACATGACAGCGGTGAATCCTATGAACATGACAGCGGTGAATCCTATGAACATGACAGCGGTGAATCCTATGAACATGACAGCGGTGAATCCTATGAACATGACAGCGGTGAATCCTATGAACATGACAGCGGTGAATCCTATGAACATGACAGCGGTGAATCCTATGAACATGACAGCGGTGAATCCTATGAACATGACAGCGGTGAATCCTATGAACATGACAGCGGTGAATCCTATGAACATGACAGCGGTGAATCCTATGAACATGACAGCGGTGAATCCTATGAACATGACAGCGGTGAATCCTATGAACATGACAGCGGTGAATCCTATGAACATGACAGCGGTGAATCCTATGAACATGACAGCGGTGAATCCTATGAACATGACAGCGGTGAATCCTATGAACATGACAGCGGTGAATCCTATGAACATGACAGCGGTGAATCCTATGAACATGACAGCGGTGAATCCTATGAACATGACAGCGGTGAATCCTATGAACATGACAGCGGTGAATCCTATGAACATGACAGCGGTGAATCCTATGAACATGACAGCGGTGAATCCTATGAACATGACAGCGGTGAATCCTATGAACATGACAGCGGTGAATCCTATGAACATGACAGCGGTGAATCCTATGAACATGACAGCGGTGAATCCTATGAACATGACAGCGGTGAATCCTATGAACATGACAGCGGTGAATCCTATGAACAAGACAGTGGTGAATCCTATGAACATGACAGCGGTGAATCCTATGAACATGACAGCGAGGAAACCCATGACGATACCAGTCATGAATCCCATGGTCCTTACAACGAGAAAACCTACGCATACAACAGTAGAGAATCCCTTGACAGTGAAGAAGTGAATAAAGGCGCTGGTTATTATATGAACAAAAGGATTGGTCACGATGGAAATCACGGACATGCCCTTCGCCCATGATTGCAATGGCAACAGCATGGCAATCGCGAACCTATCAACGCCGATGCCAAAGACGAATGGACGGTATATACACGGATGTATATATCTATATCCTGGAATATACATGTGTATTCAGTGCATATATAACAACAAATGCAAACGATCCAGCGAAGCATAATGATAAACATGAAAATGGTATCAAAATGCAATAATATAGAATTAGAGATAAGAAAAGTGATGAAAATATAGAAAATATATTTGCAACATTATATCAATTGATAACCATATATGACGCTACCTCTGGTTCTAATTGTTTCTTCTCTTATGCAAACAAATACAGAGATTCAGTGTCTATGTTATAATCATTACTGAACACGACCAATATACAGCTATGTGCATAATAAGACTTCTAAAGGGGATGAATAAAGAAAATCAGGACATAACTATTTACTTTTAAATCAACTACCTTAAGAATGACGATATGTGTATATTCGAAATTGTCTTTTTCCATATATATAGATCTATATATATATATATATATATATATATATATATATATATATAATATATATATATATACACACACGTGTGTGTGTGTGCTTGTGCATACCTATATGTACCATATAAGTCGGCTTATACATTTACACGCATGTGTATGTATATATATAGAACCGACGTTATATAGATAGATAGATAGATAGATAGATAGACATACTGATAGATAGACTGACTGATAGATGTGTGTGTGTATACATACATACATATTCGTATATATGTATATATATGTGTGTGCTGTGTGTGTGTGTTTGTGTGTGTGTGTGTGTGTGTGTGTGTGTGGTGTGTGTGTGTGTGTGTGTGTGTGTGTGTGCGTGTGCATGTATGTATATCAAATATATATATATATATATATATATAATATATATATATATATATATATATATATAATATATATATATATACACAGTAATCAAGATGGTAACCAAAGTGTTATACATAAACGTGATAGTAATTCAGTAGATTGGAAATAATAGTCGTAATCATAACTAAAGCATAAAGTGATTCTGTTAGGTGTACATTTTCCTTTATTGCACTAAATATTACCATTATTTTTCCTTATCATGGTTTCATGATTTTTTTGATTGTCATTATCGATGGCATTAGCAAAGTGATTGTTGTTATTGCTGTCACCATCCATATCACTACGATAAACATTACCATAAATGCAATCATCACTGTCGCCTTTAATAAAATACATTCTTGTTCCACAGAATTGTTACTACAACAATTATTCTCGGTGTTGTGATGGGAACAGCCTGTGCCTTCTCTACCCAAGGGAAGCCTGATATCGAAGCTAAGGAATGGAGGTAAGGAAAGGGAGAGAGAAAAAGGAAGAGAGGGAGAGGAAGAGAGAGATGATGACAGGAGGAGGCGAGTGGGTGACAGAGAGGAGATAAAGAGTGAGAAAGAAAGAGTAAGAGAGGAAGTTATAGTCAGTGAGAAATAGAGAGTGAAAGAATGAAAGACAAAGAGAATGAATGCTAAAAAGAGCAGGACGGGAAATATAAAGAGCGAAAG